TGATAGTTGTCGCAGTGGTAGTAGTGATAATAATAATAACAATAACAAACAAAAACAAAAACAGCCATAAGGCTAATATTGATAGCAACATTAATAAAAATGATAACTATACTGATAACGATGATGATGATAATATAATAATAATAATACCAATGATAGTGATAACGATGATTATAAGAATGATAATCATGATGATAATAATGATGATGAAGATGGTAATTAAATCCTAATCCCAAAGGTAACATCATAATGATAATGATAAAAGCATATAACAATATAACAATGGTAACTCAAATAAAGAAAAAAATAATAGATAATAATAGATGATGATGATGATGATAATGGCAATAATGGTAATGGTAATGGTAATGATAAATAATATAATATATAATAATATATAATAATAAATAACAAAAACAACAACAATGATAATAATAATAATAACAAACATTATAATTATCATAATAACACAATGAACAAGTAATGAACAGAACATCATGACATTATACATTATAACAAGACGTAAAAATAATCACATTAATACTACTAATACTAATGAAATGATATTATAATTATTGTCAGAATGATTCTTTATTGGTAGTGGTGGTGATGGTGGTGAAATAGCAGAGAAAGAAAGGCCACCGAGAATGGAGCTAGCGAAAGCAGAAAGAGAACAAGAACGAAGAGAAAGAGAAAAAGAGAAAAACGAAAACGCGAGGAAGAGAAAGAGAAAAAAAAAACAGAAAGGAAAGGGCAAACAGAAGGAATATTAAAGAGAGAAACAAAAACAAAGAGAATGCCCCCCCCCCCAAGAAAACCCTCCCCTTACAAAAAAAAAAAAAAAAAAAAAAAAAAAAAAATCCGTGTACTTACCAAGGTGGAAAATACCCCATCCTGAACGCAGACCCAATATAAGCTACCTAATTGCCTCGTTCATCATGGGACCCCTTGAGGCTTCTTGTACTGAACGCTCTAATTACGTAAGTCTGTTGTTGTTCTGATTAAATACTTCTGCGATCACAGACTCTGGGGTTTATACTGTCTGTGATTCCCAGGGCATCGTTTTCTCTGCTGCGGATGCTGAGGTAGAGACGGGAAGAGAGGGGGAGGGGGGGGGGGGAAGGAGAGGGAGAGGGAGAGAGAGCATTGGTTCCTCAGCTAAGAAGGAAAAGAGAGAGAGAATAGAGAGAGAGAGAGAGAGAGAGAGAGAGAGAGAGAGAGAGAGAGAGAGAGAGAGACAGGGAGAGAGATTCGATTCGGGAGTAAAGTGGGGATAGAGAGGGCGATAAGGAGGGATTGAGGAGGGAAGTAGAGAAGTAATATATATATATATATATATATATATATATATATATATATATATAATATATATAGAGAGAGAGAGAGAGAGAGAGAGAGAGAGAGAGAGAGAGAGAGAGAGAGAGAGAGAGAGAGACTGGGTCAATTCGGGAGTAAAGTAGGGATAGAGAGGGAGACAACAAGGAGGGCCTGAGGAGGGAAGGGGGAAGTAGAGAGAGAGAGAGAGCAATCTTTTTTTCTGCTGTTGAGACTGAGGTCGAGTCGGTAAGGAAGAATGACAGATATAAAACGGAAATCAATGTCTGTATTCAAGAAAGGGTAGATGTTGATGAAGCGGGCAAGTAGGTGTTAATGTATGTGGATATTCAGATTACAATACAGTTTAATAGAAAGGTAAAAAAGGAAAGAGAGGAGAGTGGGAGATAGGGAGGGAATGGGAGTGGGAGGGAGGATAGGGAGGAAGATAGAAAGAGATGGCAGGAGGAGAGGAGAAGGGAAAGATACAGAGGAAGGAATATAGAGAGGGAGGGAGAAAGACAGAGGAGGGACAGATTTAGAGGGACAAAAAGAGGGAGGTAGGGAGGGATGGTAGGAGGAGAGGGAGAGAGAGAGAGAGAAAGAGAGAGAGAGAGAGAGAGAGAGAGAGAGAGAGAGAGAGAAGAGAGAGAGAGAGAGAGAGAGAGAGAGAATGAGCAAAAAGTAGGATAAAATTAAACAAACGCACAGCCTATGTAATGTATTTGTGGCGTGCCTTTCAGACATTCCCAAAGAGAGAGGCAATTCCTTCCAAAAATAGAGAATACAGAGAAACCCAATGGGCTCAAGACATTTCCACACTGCATTCCACCCATCATGTAAGTTTATCCCAGCAAAAGTGTCACTATTTCAATTCCATCCAGGACAGCACACACTAAGACACTCGGTATCCACAACACTACAAGAATAAACCCCAACACGCACGTAAACACAGACACACAGACAGACCCATAAACCCCTCATCTCCCCCACAAAGGCAAACACATTCATAATAAGATAAACAGTACTCTGAATAAACACACATCAGACAGTGTGCACATTTCCATTTGTTTACATCTCTGATCAAGGTACGTAAAGGAATGTACCTGTAAAGTACAGCACTTATGCTAATAAACGTCCTGCTGTACATACATTGGGAGACTGAGATATGGTGTAATAACGGGGG